ATGTATTAAAATCATTAAAAAATAAATTTGTTGGAGAAAATTATTTAATCTTATATAATCTTTAATAATTTAATCCTAAGATTAAATTATTTAACCTTAAGATTAAATTATTTAATCTTAAGATTAAATTATTAAAGTTTCAGTTTTGGTTTTAATGTCAGTTTGGACTATAATTAATATCAGAGTTTTCTTTCCTCCTTTTTTCTTTTTCTTTGTGATTAACGTTTTAGGTGTATTAAAAGTTATTTATTAATTTTAACATAATTGATACTAATTCGCTGAATGATCAAAGACTGGTTTTTGACTAAACCGATAGAATTAAGTGTTAGCGATATGGTGAATTTTTATGTTACTGAACTACCTTTCATTATTTTACAATAAATCGTTTTTGCTTCCAACAAATTTATCTTTTAATAATTTTAATATTATACATTTTAGATTGTTATTAGAGTTTGTTTTTATATTATAGTTTCCGTTAATAGGTGAAGGTGGCTCATTGAAATGAATTAGTTCGTAAAATAATTTTTTGTAATTACAACATCATATTGTCTCTGAGAATGGCTCAAAAGTGAACCAAAATATGTAAGCGGATTAATTATTAATAAAATTGTTTTGTTAATTGTATTAATTTGCACAAGAATTACCGTGTTTGACTCCTATTGCCCTTTCATATCCAACCATTTTGTATCGTTAAGGAGTCTTTAGGAATTAATTTATATTTAGTCTTGCTGTGGTGCCAGTTTACAGGGGGAGTTTTTTAGCGAAATAGGTAATGATGTCCGCTGTCCTTCCTTATGGGAAGGATGCGGATCCATCGAATCCCGTACACCCCGGGAGTCGGCCTCTAAGCGTCATTCGGCTAGGTTCTCCCTTTGGGAGTATCCTGGATGATTAGCTTTGCGAAGATTTTTCTCCTCTTTTCGCAAACAAAAAAGAAAGGATTAGGTTATATGAGTATATAATAATCTAGTAACAGAGTTACTAGATCATCAGTTGCATCCCCAAGCAGGGGTGGGAGTCGCTTCGTGTAGAAAATTGTAAAATATACTTTAAAGCAAAGAATTTTTGTTTTATATGGTGGAAAAAAAATATCATATACGTTATTTTTTGTTTATAGTTCTTTAACAAAGGACCGCCACCTAAAACCTGTTGGAGATCATGACCTTGACAAAAAATGTCATTGAGGGATGCTCCCCTATTCTAAATTTTTACCATATTTTCTTCTGAATAACGTTCATAGTAACGCAGTTACATTTTTAGGGTAACAATAACGATTTCACTAATTATTTTTATTGATACTTTATTTCTCATTACGTAAAAGTTTAGTCGTAACTATTGCCCTTGAAAATAGAGATGAAACATTAACAATCTGACTGTCATGCGATTACGATGCCTTTTCTTCATTGTATTCGCAGTTCACACATACGAGGGTCGTTTGAAAAGTCCGTGCAAAGTCAGAGACATGGCACTACTGGCGCGTATCAAGGTTAGATTTAGTTAGTAGCATCTCTTGGAGGAACACACACCAAGTTACAGCCAGATCGGTCTATTTGTTTGTGTTTGGCATTCATTTGAATCGAGGAAGTCGAGTGATTTTCACGATAACGCACCAGCTCACATTTCAGCAGTTGTGGTCGCAAAATTAATGGAATTAGGGCCATTTCTTCATATTGGGGAACAAATAGTAGTCCGAAGGAGCCAAGTCTGGAGAGTAGGGGGATGTGAGACGAGTTGGAACCCTAATTCCATTGAAACTATGAACTATAACACTAAATCCACATATCGGTACAGCTTGAACGTGAAAGTGGTATTAGTTGACCAAGTGTCTGCGAATACTTTATTCCAATAAATTTCATCCCTTTCGTATTATTTCATCAAGAGTTACATGGTAATGATTTTCAAAATTGTGTACAATTTTGTAAATGGGCACTACGGAGACTACAAGAAGATGATATGTTTGTCACTAAAATTTTATTTACTAACGAAGCTACTTACAAACAATGGACAAGTATCTTCGCACTATTAGTCAGTAGAAACCCACACTGGCTGAGAGAAGTGGACAGACAGAGACCTTAGTTCATAAAAAAAAACGTATGGACCGGAATTCTTAATAATAAAATAATTGACTCTCATTTTATCGATGGAACATTAAGTAGTCGCAAGTATGCACAGATTTTAACAGAAATAGTGTCACTATTATTAAAAAATCTTCCACTAACTGTACGACAATCAATGTAGTACGAGCAAGATGGATGTCCTGCTTATTCTGCACGGATTTTATTACTGAATTGCTAAACAGAAAATTTGGAGCTAGTTGGATTGGTCGGTCAGGAAATAACAGATGGGCCGCACGTTTTTCACATTTAACACCTATGGATTTTTATTTATGAGGAAAATTAAAACAACAAATGTAGCGAAATGCTGATAACAAGAGAAGACATAAAGAAGCGTATAAGAAGAGCTTGTGTTGCGATTGATCCAAATGAAATTCGTCGTGCAGTGTTATCTGTGTTAACATGTTTTAGAAAATGCGTCGCTGTTCAGAATCATCATTTTAAACACTTGTAATTATAAGTACGCTAATAAGTAAAGAGCCACCGCAAAATAAGGTGTTTTTTCGCCCGTTTTCTGGATATTGTCAAATGATTAGTTATGATGAGACAATAATCGCATAAAATTTTTAAGTTCAGCGTATGATTGATTTTCGAAATATAGAGAGTCAAAGTGGTGCTTGAGAAAGTATTACACTATTGTATTTTCACTGATCTAATATTTATGTTAAAAAATAGTTCCGATAGAACTTTAATGTTTTTTGGGTTGCTGATTACGAACGTGAAATCTAAAATCTATAATTCAAAATGGCTGATCCAATATGGCTGCCTGATTTTGCGAAATTGAAAATTATCTGAACGGATTGCTTTTCGAGGATTTTTTAGATTGCTGATTATAGATCTAAAGTCTAAATTAAAAAATTTAAAATAACGGATCCAATATGGTGAATACAGATACGCAAAAACAAGATTTTTGTGAAAACCGAAATCATGTTAAATATGTCTAACTATAATACACTAGCCAACAAAATTAACGCAATATCTGTTTCACTTTGCAAAAATAGGCAAATTTCAAGATAAAATAACTTCGTCAAAAATCATCGTATCGAGATGTTTAAAAAAGCATTTTACAGCTTGAAACCTCTACTTTACGCTACTTTAACCGTCCGGTCAATGACCAAACTTTCACCATTCGTTCAATAACCGGGTACCCGGGTACCCGCCTATAATGTGTCAGGTAGAAAAGTTATTAGTAAGCTAGCTACGTGGCATGTGAAATAACTGCAGTCGAACCAGACACTGAGTCTGACACTGAAATGGATACCCGGGTACCTGGTCATTGACCGGACGGTTAAAAAACGGTTTCATGAAGATTTTATGTAAGTTACACAAACATAAATGAAGATATATCAGATCTCAAATTGTTTTACGAAATTTGCGGAGTCCACGGAGTGTTGTAAAAATTATATACAAATGCGATTTACATAATTCGAAAAAAATTTTTATCTTTAATTTGCTTTTTTTACAAAGTTTCGATTTTTTGTCACCGAGTTATTCATTAAAGCAAAAGGGTCATTTTTTTCATATGTCTTATGGAATTTTGGAGACGGTTCTTAATGGAATCAAAAGTTCCCAAAATAATCCAATCCTTATCAAAAAGGATTTCTGAAATTCACGATTAACATATATATATATATAAAAT